TGATCGGACGACGACTTTGGGGGATGGGGGAGGGAGGGGGCGGTGCGTTGGGCGTTTCGTGGACGGGTTTGGCGAGGTTCGAGATCTGATGATTTTCTTGGGGAACGAGTTCTTTTGGTGAGATCGAGGAATCGTTAAACAAACGAAGGCATGCTCTAAACATGTGCAAACAATAGGTAGAACTAAATCTTAACTAAAGACAGAAGAGCCTTATATATCAGAGATATGTAGAGATATATATGTATAAATATATATACACACGCGTGTATGCACGTTCGTCTGGTATATATTGTGTATACCGTGTATGTACATATATATATATTATACAGATATATGTTTATATGTTTATAGTGAAAAAAGTGCGTTTTATATATATTCTTTGTGTGTGATATACATACGCTATAAGTTTTTATATATATACGTAAGCGTTTTATTGGCAAGCTGCCGTCCTCGTTTCGCAGTCATTATTTCCGACCGATAAACGATGGTTTTTTCCTTTGGTCTGTTTGCCTTTTTTCTTTTTCGTTCGTTCGTCGTTGCGATCGGATCAAAGTTGTTGCACCGATCTCTTGTGCTCGCGACTGCCACGAATTAGCGCGCGGTTCTCTTTCTCTATTTTTGTTTTCTTTTCATTCTTTTCTATCCGATGGAAATCGGCGATTACCGCGGACGATTATCGGGAATAATGATGCGAAATGCAGGTCGGGACGGTCAGCTTGGTTTTTCTATCTTCATTACACGTGGCAAGAGTGAGTCAACGAACTAAAAGAGAGAAACGAAACATCTTTACAGACGTAACCACGGTAACCACCAGAAAGAACATTGAGTGTGAATGAGTACATATCATTAGACAGTCGATATAATACGTTAGTGCGAATAAATCTTAAAAACTAGTTGTTCAAAACCTGGATCATCCTCCTGCAAATGCTTTAAGGAAAGACAAAAACACGTGAGTGAGTATAATTAGAGTATTAGTTAGCTTGTGTTAAAATGGGTATCCAAGTACGAATGATTGGGGCTTTCTCTTTTTATATCCGGGGGCTGGGGGGGTCTCGGGGTCAACAAAAACCAACGGCAACGGACTTAGGGGAGCGTTGCGATTAGGCCCTGTAAAAAGTAGTTAGAAAACACGGTTGATCTCTTATCTCTTTTCTTTTCTTTTTTTGCTTTCTTTTCTTTTCTTTTTTTTCTTTTCTTGCTCGAGAGGGGACAAATAGTGAAATGATTAAATAATCAGCTGAGTTCAAAAATTGGTTATCAGCTTCCGAAAAATCCGTGGCTGCGTGCACCTGGAAAAAATCTTCTGGGCGGTTGGGGGGTGGGGGTTGTGGGGGGACACACTAATCGGGGGACAGGGGATACAGACCGGGGTGTCATCTGGGTGCATAGAACAATTATGCGTTGGAGATTCGTTGTAGCAAAAATTCCAAAAATATAAAATCTCGCCAGCCAAAAAAATGTTGGGCCAACATGATTCCGCGTGCCGTCCGCGTGGGTGCCGCGTGTCCCGTATCAAAAACCATTGGGATTTCGTAGTCGTAGTCGTAGTAGAGGGGGCGGGTGGCCAGACAGGCTGATAGGAGAGCGATGGTGGACCAGAAGAGCTTTGAAGGAGAGACACGGAAAAAAGTGCGCGCGTTCAAAAGTTGCGTTCGCGCGGCAAAAATCAATGCATCTCCGCGATCGGCGATCGAAAAAAAGGCTTCCGCGCGCGTTTATTCGCGTTTTTCTCTCGGCTTTCTACGATGTCTCATTCGTTTTCTTTTCCTTTTTTCTTTTTTTTTTTTTGCTTCTCTATTTTTTTTCTGAGGGCGAGACGCGATAGTTCGTTTCTCGAAAGCGTTTTAAAAGAAACGTAAAAAAGGTACGCAGTGGCCCCCGTAGTGGGGGAACAACGCTATATTACTCATGATATTCTGTACAATGCGATACAAAAGAGAAATTACAGTTGAATAGTTACGAGTGAACGAAATAAAGATTCGTAATACAGAGTAACAGCGATAAAAAAAATGCAATGTAAACGGAAAACGCAGGAGAAAGAGAGAGAGAGAGAGAAAGAGAGAAAGAGTGAACAGAACCATTGTCGATGACAGATAAAAATACAGAGAAAAACCAAGGTACCACAGTGACAAAAGAAAACGTATATAATTCGTGAAAAAAAGAAAAAACAGAGCTGGGATCAGAGAGTATTGAGTGTCAGTTTGAGGGGAACAGAGAGAGAGAGAGTGAGAGAGAGAGAGACAGGTATATATATAGTATATATCGTAGAAGACGTTAGCGGAATCTGAAATCGAAAACACATTTAATACACGGTGTATGTAGGAATTTCGTAGATGATGACCGATACGAGAGTTAGGTTGAAGCCGGGCCACGGGATAAGAAACAAACACAGGCCGTGCCATCGCAATCCGCGCTGGTGAAATCGCGCGATCATTAATATCTTCGGGCTGATTTTTGGCGGGCTTTTATATTTTTGGCTCTTGCGCGACGAACTTGGCGTTCGCGATTAACGTCGCCTTCGCAAGAGTTTGTCTTTGTACGCGAAGCGTGGCGCTCGGAGTTCCGGAATACGCGACGTTATCGAGCTTTTTCTCTCTCTCGTCGGGAATCTTTCAATTTCTCTAAATCATTCAACGCGGGAGCGCTCGGGCGCGCGAGAGAGACAAAGAGAGAGAGAGAGAGAGAGAGAAGAGAGCGCGTCTATTTCCGTTCGCAGTCTCGCGTGAGTTCGATCGCAGCTTCGCGCGCCACGCTTCGGCAGCCTGACGTAAACGTAGAAGGATCGTTAAATGAACGTCAGTGATACATACCGTCCTCGTGAGTTTTGACCGTGATAGGATAACTCGGGGGTCCGTCACCTACGCTGGTCCCGGCCGATACCCAAATCCGGTACTCGGTCCATTTTTTCAGTTCGTCCAACACGAATCGCGTGTTATTCAATTTGACAAGCGTCGCCTCGGTCGTGTCGGAGCGTCCGCTCTCGACGAATTGCAGCTTGTAGTACGCGATCCTCCCGTTCGATTCATCGGCAGGCGGGGGTTCCCATGTTACCAATATGGAGGTCGGGCTGAGCGCTCGTCCAGTTACATTGCGAGGCGGAACCCCGGGGACTGTATAACACTCAGTTATAGGGATGCAGGAGAAACAAAAACGGGAACGAGGGCGAGGGGTGAGGTCGGACGGGTCAGTCGCCGAGCGATCGGTGCCCGCCGCCCTCGGCCGCCGGGCCCCAACGACGAAAATCCTCCCGGAAACTCGCCCCCGAGATTCCCAGGCCACCCAAGGGTTACTCCCTTGGCCCGTTCACCGGGAAGACGAATTTCCGCGATTAATTCCGGGCCGCATTGAAATCGCCCGGCTCTCCCCGGAACATTGTTCGAAAGATCCACCGAAACTGGGCTTCGCCGACTGCTTCTTGCAACTTCGCGCGCGATCAACTCTGAACCGGTTACAGGAACTCGGCGGAAACTTCGCGGACCGGCTCGTCGGAAAGAAAACGTCGAGTTTAGATCCGCGGATTAGTCGTTGCCTATTTCCATCTCCGGATTCAACGGCACCGAACAAAAACGAACGAAAAAAAGAACATTCTCCGAACAGAGAATTGTGCAAGAAAGTCCGGGGAACGTGTCCGCGAGACTCGCGCGTGGCAGCTCGGCGATTCTCTCGATTCCAAGGCGGCCGGCGAGTTTTCGTCCCGCGAGGGGTCCGGCGAGCTTCGAGGCCGGGCCACGTTCGAGCGGCGACTGACGCGCGGGGAGTCGAACAGAAAACATTAACAGTGGGGTCGGGTTGATCGGGGTTCAGAGAGAAGGTATAGAGATTGAATCAAGGAAGAACTGTTTAACGAGTCGATCCTTGAACAGTCGAAAAATTACGTGATTAGAGAAAAAAAAACCATCCGTCCATGGGCGGGAGCGATTGACTCGCGCGCGTCGGCGCGAGCCAACGGCCGTGCGCCCGTTTTCGCTTTCGCAATATACAATATGGAGAACGGAACAACGTAATCAAGTAAGAGAAAAAAAAAAAGATAAATAATCGAAGAACGGACGTGTAAACCATACGTTATCGAGAATGAAAAGAGGTGCCCAAAATGCACACATATATCGATGCAGTGCTTAGTGCAATTTATATGTATGATATGTACGTATATATATATAGATATATATATAAAGTGGCATCCAAAACGGCATCTTATTTGCAACGCATGCAATCATTCTCACTCTCCCACACTTCACGGTTCTGTCGACGATACTCTCTATCTTCCGTCTTTCTCTTCTGTTTTTAGCCCCCGGCAAGCCCCATTTTCCCCGATTTTCAAGATCTCAAACTCTGAACAATCTGGTTCCTCTGAAGGTGACGCGCCGGTTTTTCATAGCTTACGTTACATTTGCGGGAGCGTCTAGCGCTACAGCACCAATCCTACCTGCTGTGCCAGGTGGATTCGCGGATCACGGCCGACGGGACGCGACCGGATGTCCCAGCGGATCGCAGCGATCCCAGGGCTCCGATCGAGAGAGAGATCGCCCGTCGGCCGGCCGCGAACCGACCTCTGTCCGGCACTCCTCGCTGCGTGAACTCACTCCCGTCTCATTTCGCTTTCCCCGTCGGGTCTTTGCCGTTCTGCTTACCGTACGGTTTCGTGCGAACCGGATACGGAACCGTCGTCGCTCCCTCGCCAGTCTGGGTCCTCGCTGCCAGCCACACGTAGTACAGCGTGTTCGGGTACAGACCCGTCAGTTCGTAGCTCTGCGTCACCCCTATCTTTCGCTGATGCTTCTCCTGTGTAACCAACGAACGCCCACCGATTACAAACAACGAAGCAATCTCGGCGAGCTAGTTCTTTGAGTTTTCTCGCTCTGCCGGGGAATCGGCGAACGAGCCACGGATTCACTGAATCAGCCGGGCTTTGCTCGGCCTGCTTGGCAACCGGCTGAAAATTTGATCGATGCGGAGTCGAACTACCGAAACGCCACCCCCCGCCGACTAAAGGGCGCAGAGGGGCGCTATCCGGTCGATTTCGCCGGTCGAAATTATTTTTCTCGCGTCGACGCGATTGAAATGTATTATTGCTAACTTATTTCAGCGTGGACGAAATAATTGTGAAGGAATATTGTTATTATTATCATCCGCGTCGCGAGAAGCGCATCAGCTCGAAGATCACGGAGAACTACGGTAATGTCTCTCTAATTGACGCTCAGATTGTCCACAGAAATGGACAATTGAACACGACGCGTATACTGGGCGCTCCGCGGATAAAACGATGAATCTTCGATTTATTTAGGTTCATGGAACGGGCAAATTTTTCGCAGGAAATACGCTTCGGAGAAATGCCTCCATCGAGGAATATTCACTATCAAAGTTGTACGACTTGCAAGGGATGATTCGCCGCCCGAAAATTCAGAAAATTCAGAAAATTCCGAAACTTTTGGGATACGTAAATATGTCCAGTAAATTCTCCCTAATTGACGCTCAGATTGCACACAAGAATTTACAATTTTGGTGGAGGAGACACGATTATTCGAGCTTCGCGGCTCGTTTTTATAGAGTTGTTGGCAAATCGTGACTATAAAAATGAACCGCAAGGATCGAATAATCGTCTCTCTTCTCCCTAAATTGTCCATTTTTCTGGACAATCTGAGCGTCAGTTAGGGAGACATTACTGTAACGCGAGATCGTGAATAATTGGCGTGCTCGCGTCGTTTAGCTCGCCTGGCGGTCGTAAACGCTTATTGTCCGCGCTATTGTCTCGAACGCGAAGATTTACCACTTTTAGCTTTCAGTTATCGATCGCGGTCCCGCGCATTTTCTACAACCTGTTGCCGAGCATCCTGGCACAAAGCGATCGCATGGCTGAGCAGGTGCAAAATGATCGTGGTGTTAAGGGAACGGGGGAAGGGAGGACGCGCGGGTAACACAGAAGTACCGGGAAAGGGGGATGGGGGAGGGTAACGAGAATGGAAGAGAAGAGGAGGGCGTGGTAAGTGGAATCGAACGATTAAGATAGGGGCGAGAGGAGGAGGGTGACAGAGAGCGCGGGACTCACCTTCGCGTAAGTGTCGTTCCAGTATAGTTCATAGCTGAGGATATTCTCCCAACAATGAACCGGCTTGCTCCATTGGAGCTTGATCTTGTCCTCCCCGATTTCAACCGCCGTCAACTGCTCCGGTTGACTCGGTACCCCTTGCTGCGTTTTGATTTTCACGGGCGAGCTGAGGGGGCCGGGCCCGACGCTGGTCAACGCCTGCACCCGGATCGTGTAGATCACGTGGGGCTTTAGATCCTGGACGGTGGTCAGCTTTTTACTGTCCACCATCTGGAAGGACCACGAGGCCATCTTCTGATCCGGGTCCGTCGTGTAGTACACCTTGTAGCCCTGTCGTGAAAGCCGTGCTCGTTTCAGAAAACAATTTGCTTGCGGCCACGCGGCCGAGAGCCATACAGGCTCGAGACAGACAGAATCGAGAAAACTAACCGTCACTTGACCGTTCGGCGTCTCCGGCTCGTCCCATTGTACAAGCATCGTGGTGGAGCTTAATGGCCGGGCCATGATCTGCCGTGGCGCAGTACCGGGTGCTAGAACGAAGAAATACCGTCGGATATTTGCTGGGACACGCGCGCCGGTCGGACAGGTCAAGCCACTCTAGTTAGTCACGGGACAGAACAGTAAACCTCCAAGAAAGAACACCATAAGAACCAAAAAACACGCGGCCCCAGGTACGAACGTAGGAGAACGGAAAAGTAAATCGCATTTGTCTCTACGATGTCCGACGACGGTGTCTCGTTGCTACGGTGTGTAATTTAGTGAAAGTGGAAGTCCAAAGTATACGATACCGGTGTGTGTATGTGTGTGTGTGTGGGGTGGGTGGGTGTGTCGCAATTGCAGTCAATTAGCTACGAACACATACGTGTGTGTGTATGCGCGTATGTGCGGGTAATTCTCTGTGTACTCGCGCGTGAATCCGCGCGTCGCAGGATCCTACGACGACCTTTCCACGTTCTCGGATCTTTACGGATCAAGACAAGGTGTGTCCTAAAAATGTCTCGTAATACGGAGATGAGGGATTCCTCAGGTTATTTGAAGTAACTTTTTCCTTAGCGAAAATGCGATCCGCGGCTTCGTTTACGAGATATTCGCGAAAAACGGTGACCAATGAAGAGGCGAGCTCGGCTGGCGCGAGGCGGGCCAACCGACGAGCGCGCGGAGTCCAGTTCCACTGATTGGCTCAGCCGCCTTGCGCCAGCCGAGCTCGCCTCTAATTGGTCCGTGTTTTTCGTTAATAACTCGTAAACGAAGCCGCTGATCGCATTTTCGCCGAGGAAAAAGTTACTCCAAACGATCTCAGGAATCCCCCATTCCTCGCTTGTACAATAATTTTGGGACATCCTGTATATGTTCATGCCGGTCGCGAAGATTTCTTTCGACTATCTCTCTGGTGGATCCTGCGACACGCGAGGACAGTGTGCGCGTGCGCGCGTGCTTCTACCGGTGATCGGAAGAAAAAAAACAATCATACCATGTTCTAAGACGAGAAAATTAGAACGACGTAAAAAAAAAGAAATAATAATAATAAAACAGATCAAAGATAAAGGAGAACGAAGATCAAACGGTAAATCTAATAACAACACGGAGATAGGGTAGCAACGGAAAGATGAGTACACATTTCTACAACACTCTTAGTATGTGGGTTGAACTTACTGGCACCTCCATTTGTCGATTCCGCTATCGAAAAAAAGTACGAACGATTATTTTTCAATGGACATCGATTGGTTAAACTTGGTGTATTATGCGCGGTGAAAATACGAATAGCCATGACCGCGCGGTCTACGCGGCCGGTTTCCGTTCGTATTTTCACAGAGGTGTGAAGAGTGCGCTACGCTATACATATATATATGTATATCGGAGGAAAGGTGCAATTTCGCGTGCTGTCTCCCCGCGTATATTGGTTTTTCTCTTTTCCGAAAAAAAGAGACGGAGAGACGTCGGGTTTTAGGGGGCTCGTGGGCAGAGAGGGGGTTGGGGCACTGGGCACTGGGGTTAGGGGAAACGGTGCAGTATCGGACGTGGTCGGAGCTTGTTGAGACAGAGACGGAAAAATGCAGAGGCCGAAACGAGACGTCGAATCCGCGACGCGCCCGCGCCGAATACGCTTCGACAAAAAACACTAACACAGAGTGCAACACAGAGAGTGAGAGATAGAAATAGAGAGAAAGAGAGAGAGAGAGAGAGAGGCAGATATATAGATAGACAGATAGAGATAGGCAGAGAGATGGTAGGTGAACGGGGGCGGTGGGTGGGATTTCGGCGGACAGGTGGAAAAAAAATGTCTTTGTCACTTACATGAATCAAATCGTGCGTCCACGGCGGACAGCATGGAAAAAAAGGTAGAGATTTCCCTCAAAAACACGTGTCAAAATTTGTTCTTCCTTTCGTGGTGCAAAAAACATTATCTACGTGCAAAAATCTTACGCGGCTCGCCGCGTTCTCATTAGGCTATCTTGCTGTTCCGGCTCGCGGACAAGGAAAGAGAGAGAGAGAGAGAGACAGAGAGACAGAGATAGAGAGAGAAAGAGAGACAGAGTCAGAGACAAGAACAACCGTCCGTTGCGCTGCTTTTCCTCCTTTCGTCTCGTTCCGAGGCGCTTTCTTTCGCGCAGGGTGCTCCGATAATGGCGGCGCGCGACCGGTTCCGCGCGATAACCACAACGAAATTCACCGTTGAACGCTCCTCTCCGCGCGGATTCGGCTATCGCGCGCGGAACCGTCGCGGCGCCACGGATGATATCGGGACACCGCGCGCTCTGTATTTTGCGACAGATGTGTAAACATGATGACAAAGAGCCGACGGATTCGTTCGCGGCGCGTTCGACGATCACGAGCGGATCCGTCGGCCGGAATCACGCGCCATGGCAAAGGCGTCTTCTCGCGCGAACCTCCCGGCGCCGAATCCTCGAAGGATCGACGGATGATCGCCGATCCTCGGGATATCGGTCCCGACGAGACGCCGACGCGTTCTGCGGATTTCCTGGTGAGGTGTTATAACGCGTCTCTATAATATGATAACGATAGAAAGAGAGAGAGAGAGAGAGAGAGAGAGAGAGAGAGAGAGACAGAGATAGAGAAGCGTTCACTGGGAAAGTAATACTAGAGAGAGAAAGAGAGAGAGAGAGAGAGAGAGAGAGAGAGACAGAGATAGAGAAGCGTTCACTGGGAAAGTAATACTGACTTGTCTCGCCAGTGGTGACGGTCACCGGGGCACTCGGGGGGCCACGCCCAATGCCGTTCACGGCTGTCACGGAGAACTCGTACTCCGTGTAAGGGCTCAGGGTTCGGACGTTGTAGTACATGGTCGTGATGCCCGATATCTCGACGAACGCCTGGTTCACCTGCTTCGGCTTGTGCTGGATTATGTAGTACTTCAACTCGTCGGAACCTTTGTAAGACCAGATGAGCTTCACGGAGGTGGCGGTGACGTCCGAGACCGTAACGTTCACCGGCGCGCTCGGCAGAGCTGAAAAAAATCGATCGACGGGGGTGGGGGATTAAACGTGCGCGTGGATCCTTTTTCCGTTTTGTTTCGCCGCGTTTAACCGGTCACGCGCGCGGCTATCGGGCGCGAACGAACGGGGCAAGGAACCCGGGCCGGCAAAATGCATTGTCCACGGCCGTGTGTCTGCGCGACGGCCATAAGCCGATTGATTAGTCATCGAAACAGCACCGGCCACGGTTCCGTTCCGTTCCGTTCCGTTCCGTGGAACCCCGGCGACCATGATTGATCGTTCCAACGTTACGTAGAGCCCCGTGCGCCCGCTAATGCGATCTCTGCGGATTTACGCGGCTGCCTCCGATCCATCTCGATACGAACATTGAACTTTCACCATCGCTGTGGCCGATATCAATCCGAGGTCGCTGGATGCCGTGCAGGTGTAGTTCGCCGACTCCTGGATGTCGGTCAGCTCCAGCACGTTCTTGCCCACCGGCAGATTGTCGTCCGGCGTCAGATCGGTGGCTGGGTCCTTCTTCCATTTCACGAACGGCATCGGGGAACCGACCGCCACGCAGTTTAGGTTCAGGGACGCACCCAGCATCACCTCGCTGATCGGCGGCGGCGGGATCGAGAACTTTGGCGGCACTCGCCGAACTATGACAGAGTCTCTCGTTTATCGTTCGTTTAAACGAAGAAACGAAAACTAGATTCTACGAATCGCGGCATCGACGACGCGAGATTACCGAGATTATCACGCGAGAGAATTGAAACGACGGGACTAGCACCGAACGCGTCATCGCTGGTCGAATGATCGGTTTTTATAGTATTTCTTTTTGTGGTATCTCTTTATGGTATCTCTTTTTATAGTTATTGAAATTATGAAGCCGAAAATTACGAACTGCGTTTCTTTATTCGGGCGCACGCTGTTGTAAAAATTGCGAGACATACAAATGGATGCTGTCTTATAATTTCTGTACGGCAACACGTGTCAGTCACTATTGGATTTTGGCACGTACGGTGCTGGAATCGAGAGGACGAAGACAAAGATGAAGAGTAAAAACTTGCTAATGCCGCGAACGAGACAGCTGCATCGAAAGCGAAGCAGAGAACTCGGCGGAACACGGGAGAAAACGCTATGATTTTAATCGAGACTTGCACAGTTGCGGACAGTGTCAACCCTTTGCACTCGAAGCCAAATTAACGCAACATTGAATATAGTTTTTCTGATCCTCTGTATTTCCATTTTATTTAACCTAATCGATTTTATACGTATGAAATTGAACTTTGTGATCGATTCAACAGTTCTTCGAATATGAACAAATTTGATTAATAAAATTATTTGGAAATGTGAGACAATTTTTAATGGCGCCTCGGAGCCGCCATTCGAGTGGAAAGGGTTAATTTTACACAGAGTGTGTCGCGTAACTTGCGGAGCAAGTCAATTCATCCGTCGAATAAATTTTAACCCTTTGCACTCGAGTGGTGACTCAGAGGCACCACTAAAATTTGTTACATCACGTTGTAAGATAATTTTTATGTTAACAAAGTTTAGATTTAAAAACTTGTTACGAGTGAAATTATTGCTCGAGTTCCAAGAGTCAATTTCATATGCATAAAATGCATTTTATCATATAAAATAAAAATACTACAAGTGAGAAAAATGATTTTATATTTACAGTTAAAATAGCTTCGAGCGCAAAGATTTAAACTAAGCATCTGAATAAAAATCGTTGAATAGAAGAGTCGCGGAGTTCTTAGGGCGAGAAGTGCTTGTCGCGTTCACTTTTATTGTACAAGGCGTGGTTTTCGAAATTCAAGATCCTTGATTTCACACAGATTTACACATTTTTTAACTTAAAGTTTCGTACTCTTTCGAGCTGAGAAAAATGTACGTTTCCGTGTAGAAAAAGAAGGAAGTACAAAAAAGTGAACACGTTTGCGCGTATCATCCCTCTCTAAAATTCCACAACTGTTGTATTCGATAATTTCTTAATTAGATGCATAACGTACAAGTTACTCGAGGTATGCAGGTCTCGGTTGATTCACTCCGCGCGAGCTTGCTTCGTTAACGCAAGTCACCTCGAGACGCGGCGTTCCGTTTCCGATAACGGCGCACCGTTTTGCTCCGAGCAAACGAGCAAAACGGCGACTCGAATTTCCCCCCATTCCAATTTTGCGTCGCGACCGGCATTCCGTTCGATTTTCGAGAATATCCTCGCGGTGTCCGCGTGGCCAACAAGAACGCTTCAATATCGCGTAATGCGTATTCAAATTTCGAGGCAGCGGTCGCGAGAGTTACCGCAAGAAACGTCGCGTCCCCGGTGTAACGTTTGCGATGCGATTCCGCGCGCTCGAGTCCTTTGTGCCCTCTGTCCGCTCTGTTTAATTACGTTGCATTAATTTTAATTACAAGCAGGAAAACGACTGACTTTGCCGGACACGGCAGCGCGAGCGCGCGCCCGCCCGCTCGCTCGCTCGCGCGCGCCCCTCCCGCTAATGAATTTGTTAAAGCGTCCGCGAGACAGCGATAAGAAATACCGACTTTGTTGTTCCGCGTTTTCGAACGGTCCCGGTCTTTGTTTGCTCGCCCTACCTTTCACGTAGAGCGTGGCCGACTTGGAATACTCGGTGCCGACGGAATTGTTCGCCACGCACTCGTACTTTCCCTGGTCGCTCTCGTCGGATTCAGTGATTTGCAGCGTTCCTGAAACAAAGGCAGAGAACCACGGATTCTTGAAAAATCACACGTCCGATGTATTCTATGAATATCTCGGCGGAGCCATCCTCTGGCCCGTTCGTTAACAAGTTTCACGGTTAACTTTGAGCGGAACCGTGTCAAAGAGACGGAGAAGGCGGAGGTGGATGAGAAAGAGGAGGAGGAGGAGGAGGAGGAGGAGAAAAGGAATCTCACCGCGCGGCCCGGTGAATTATGAATTTTAATTCGATCGTTCCAGCGAAAATTTTTCTCGGAATCGCGCGACGATTCCCACGAGTGCTCGATCGTTCGATGAAACTTTGAGAGAGCGAGCTTTCCCGGGGAAAGCCGGGGCCGCAAGGACAGTTCACCGGCTCCGGGCATCTCGACGGAGGCGTCTGAAATAAATATGAGTGCCGGCTCGAATCGAACACGTCGCACGCGCTCGCGCGTGCTGCCACGCGTTTCTCGCTCGCCGCGGGTCGTTCCCGCCGTTCATTCGTTTCGTTTTTCTAGCGCTAATTGAGTTGGTAGTCGCGGGTCGAGAAACGCGGCGGGTGAAGTGGCGTGGAAGCTTCCTCCATCCGGGGCGGAGGGGGAAGTGTAGGGTGGTGGCAGGGTGCCGAGCAGGGGCGGGCGGGAATCCGTTTCAAAGCCCTGTTACAAACGCCGTCTATTCCACTTTCAGTTTGACCTGGCCGGTTCGTGCGCGATTTCCATGATGCATCAAGCCCCTTAGCACGATACCCCCACGATGATGAACTGGCTGTTACGAGGCGTGTGATTATCTCCGTAGACGTCACTCCTTCGGTATAATTCAACCCCCGTCGGATCTCCGCCCCGGCCGGCGCGCGGCCTCTCCGCGCGCGTCCCCGCCGGTTTCGCCACTTCCGACTTCTAGTTTCGCCGCCCCCTCGGCCCTCGCAAAGTAAACAGCCGAGGGCGGCCGGATCCGCGCATCGGCTTTTTGTTTTCCGTCGATCGCAGGCAGGCCAGACTTTTTCCGCGGACGCGCGCGACCGCGATAATTAATACGGATTATTAATGGCCGCGGACCCGGCAGCCTGTTTCACGGCGGCCAAGCAGCCGCCGGGATTTTTCGATATCAAACGCGGCTTGAAATATTTTCATACTAGTCCGGCGACCCTGCGGATTTATAGGGTTTCGTTGTGAACGTGACTTCGACGCCGACGTAGAGAGCGAGAGAGAGAGAGAGAGAGAGAGAGAGAGAGAGAGGGAAGGGGTCGAGGGCAGAAAACACTCCATCACGAGCGAGAAGCCGAGGTGGTTTGATATCACGTACGATCGGAATACATAATCGAGCCTCATCTACAATTTCCAGTAAGCTGACCAGGAAGGAACGCGTGGTCATATTGTTATCCCATCCAGTCACGTGCCCGTTGTTAGCGTGGCTATGAAAAACTCGGATTGCCGTGAACAGCCGGCCGCCGGAAACCGTTGCTCATCCTTTCCTTGCCGCGCCCCGCGCAGCCGATACCGAAAACCGGATCGCTCCTACCGAAGAATACCTTTGATTATTCAGCTCGCGTTCGCCGATCGGTCGCCCGTTACGCTCTCTCGTTACACCCGGAGGGGCCGTATACCGCACGCTAAGCCCCGGGGACCGAAAACCTCGCGAAAAACGAGGCGAACTTTCGCGACGTAACGCGTGCGTTTAATGCGCCGCCGGCCGACCTATCGGTAATGAAAGCGGAAAACGCGACCCGCCGCCGACAAAGGCAATTAGATACCCGACGCGAAACGCCGACCGGTGATTAGAAGGTTCTTTATGAATCCACGGGTAACGATCGTCGCACGCGAACCTCTTCGTTGCTGTTGTCGTCGTTGTCGTCGTCGTCGTCGACGACGTTGCAGAACAAACTCCATCTTGTAATCGCGAGTGTCTCGTGCTTCTAGTCTACGATATATATCGAGGGATCCCGAGGTGTGGTGTGTTCAGGATTAAACCGAGTACAGTGAATTCTCGTTAATTTGTGTTCAGCTTGTAAACGATAATGGACGAGAGGGAAGAGGGGATGCGATTATTCGAGCCTCGTTTTTATTATTGTTGACAATCGGCGACTATGAAAATGAGAGCCATCTGTCCATTTTTCTTTATAAATCGAAGGAGAATTAGGGAGAATCTACTGTAATCAGTTAGGAAGGGGTAGGTAAAAGAGAGTGCAAAGCATTGAGAATCGTTTTTATTCGACAATCGGCGACTGTAAAAATGAGCCGCGAGCCGCGAATAGTTTAGAATTTAATTTACTTGGAATTAGAGTTTACTGGGTCTCGTTTAAATATCTCGCGTCGTGTCGTTCGTCCATTCACGGAGCAAAAACCCTTTACTTTTTTACAAGAGAAGGTTAGACGAAGGGAGAAACGAAATCGAATTCGGACGAAAGAAAATATTATCGTTTAGATTAGCAATGATAATTATTGTACAATACGCTGCAACGACAGTTTTCAGACTTCTTTAGAGATTGCTCAATTATGTGTATCCATTTTTGAGTATACGGAATTAGCATAATTAACGCTAGGTCCACGGAACCCGTCAAAATGACGGTTCACTAATCTTGGTATTTACGATTGTTCGGATTGTAAAGACACATTTATGAGTTATTTATTTTATTTCATTAGTTTGTTATATATTTATGTTAGAATTCATTTAATTTATTATATTAATTTATATTATGTATATTGTATATTATATTGTATATTAAATATATAATATTATATAATATTATTATAATATTAATATAATATTAATATAATATTATTATAATATTAATATAATATTAGTATAATATTATTATAATATTATATTGTATATATATTGTATATTATATATATTATATTATATATTTAAATTATAATTTATTTATTTATTTTATACATATATATATATTATAATTTATATAAATTATATTAATTTAATTTAATCATTCAATAACAATACTTTTAAAAATCCAATACGTTCCGCGATAGTTCGCCGAACAAAAGAGCGCGCGATTCCTCGAGCTTCTCCACGGCGCGTACTAACAGAACAATTGAATAATTACTGAAGACGAGATATGACCTCCCCGCAAAAACAAAATACCGGTCATTCTTCTATTATGCAGCGAAACGCACGCTAGCATAGTCAATGGGACAGCATCTCGGGGAACAACAACGATCCCGAGCTTTCCGTCGTCGGATAACGTCGAGCCGCACGAAGGGGCTTCCGGCCGCGCAAAGAGGGCGAAATTGAATAAAGATGAAAATCTATCGCGCGCCCTGACCCCCGGAGCGCACGCGAAACTCTTTCGCGGGTTTCATGCGATGCCCGCGGATTCGTTCCCGGCGCGGCGATTAAGCGTCCGAAAATCGTCCGGCTAACAGCGAGTATTTCCCGTTGACGTCGAGAGTTTTCGGAACGGTCGGCGACGGTTCGCAAATATCCGCGGCGAAAAATTCCTGCCGTTTGGCGAATCGGCTTCCCGGGAATGAACGGGGAAGAGAGTCTTTTTTCCGGCGAGACAGCGCCGGGGCACGTTTCAGCTGTCACTGCACCAGGAGGAAACGTTTCTCTCCCCGCGCGCGCCTTCTCCCAGAGACGACTCAGACGTCTCGGCATAAATATGTACAAAGATATCGAGCTTGGGAATGCTCGGCGACGTAGAGACAGACAGAGAGAAAGAGAAAAAGAGAGAGAGATAGAGAGAGAGATGGCAGGAAGAGAGGCGGAGGCAAGAAACGCGTGGCGGAAAAGCGCCGAAAGTATTTGTGTGTTTACCCGTCGATATTGAAATATCTTTCCTTACATTTAATATTACGAGTGGTAAACGGGAAACGTGCACGCACAGTGTGCAACGATTCGTACTTTATTCACTATCGCCTATTTCGCCTGCCGTTCGTTTCCCGTTTCCGCGGCCCGCCGCCCTTCCCAACCCCGGAGCAAGCCGATGCCGACGCCGATGCCGAGGCCGAGGCAAGAGATACGGCAGGAAGGGAATACAGATAGAAACCGATGTGGGCGATGACTTCGAAAGACGGAGCGCTCATCGTTCGCTCGATTCGATTGAGATAGAATGCAAACAGAAAATATGTTTACCCCGAGGCTGCAGCTTCCGGCTGCCTGCCGATGCCCGGCATTTTCCTCTCGCCCTCTCTCTTTTCGTTTCTACCATCGGCGGGTGTATCGTTGTAACGAAACGAACGGGCCAGGGGGGCAGGAAAAAAAGAGAGACAGAGGGGAAGAAGAACCGAGGGAGAAATTTGTTTCGTTCTTCGGTGCGCGGGGCAGCTTCAATCGTTTTCATAATTAATATACGGGGCCGGGCCCGCGCGCGGACTCGAGTTATCGACCGCGGGCACAAAAGTCAATTATAATTACGCACGAGAGAGCTCGACTCGAGTGGAACGAAAGAGGCAAAGGGAGGAGAGGAATTGGGCAGCGGTTCGTGTACCGTGCTTTTCCAACGGGGCACGCGCGCGCGCTCGTGCGCGCGCGTTCGATTCAGTCAAAATACAAACGGAAAATATGTTTACGTTGGATCCGCGCGGGCTTCTCCTCGTCGACCACTCGGCGTGCTGCTCTCTCGATCGCGGTCGTTCCGTCCCGCTGGCTCCGGAACGCTATTCCGTATGGAGATATTCTAACCGTCCGGTTTATTTCATTCGATAAGTGATTTTGCGAACGACACGGGCCACCGACGTCGCGTCCCTCGCTAATTTCTTTTGGCCGACGAAATTGTTCGAACGTCTCCACGCTGGAGACCATTTCCTTTGAGTGAAATTCATTCGATAGCGAGACGTTTATTTTTCTCACAGAAACGAAAGCATAAGCGACGATTAGACTGCGGATTCCACGGCGTACAAGTTTCGATTCTAGAAGGTTGGTTTGGAGAAGTAGCAATGAGACGTTTGTACTGATCTTGTACGAGCGTCGCTGTAATAGTTTAAATAATATTTTAAAACGCAATAACTTTTTTTGAGATTGGACTAAGTAACTTGAATTTTTTTTAAGT